CTGGCATGTGGTGCTGGGGGATTGAACCACGGTCCCTGTGCTTTGCCAAGCTTGTTCCAAGTAGGTGCTTTAGACCACTGAGCCATCTCTCCAGCCCAGTTTTATTTTTTTTAAAGGGAATTAGTTTTGACTATAGTGAACTTAGGCATACTGAGGATAAATTAATTTTTCAGAAACTTTTAGAAGTGACTGAAAGTATTGTTAGAAGATATTGTTTTCTTTTTTCCTTGTGTTAAGAGGAGGTAGCTCAGCAGACTAAGCACCTGCTTAGGCAAGCACAGGGGCTGGGGTTCAATCCCTGGTACCACATGCCACATCGGCCCTGTCCCTGGGCCATGCTGAGCCAGCCACTGAGACCAAGTGTGGTGGCGCACACCTATAATCCCAGCGCTGGGGAGGCTGAAAACAAGCCAATGCAGACATGAATAAAAGTACCTGTACCAAATAAAAAATAAAAAATTATACATAAAAAAGGTTTATTTAGCTCATAGTTCTGAGGGCTCAAGGTCCCAGATCTGGTGGCATTCGCTTGGCTCCTGGTGAGGACACAAAGTCATGCATGAGAAGAGAAGCTCATATCCCAAAGCCGGAAGCCTGGGAGCCAAGTGCTCTTGTGTTGGTTTTTTTTTTTTTTTTTTTTAATAATTACAATTCTGCCAGCCAAATAGCTCAGCAGATTAAAGTGCCTGCAAGCAGGCACAGGGGCCGGGGGTGTGATCCCCGGGCCTGCCTGCTGGTCCTGCCCCAGGGCGTGCTGAGCCCGCAATTGAGACTGGGCGTGGTGGGGTGCTAATTCCCAGCTTGTGGGAGGCTGTAAGCTGGCAGATCACTCTGAGTCCAATCTAGTAGTGAGACCCTGAACACCTTCCCTGAAATACAAAATAAAAACAAATGAAACAACAAAAAACATTAAAACTATACAGAACTTCAAAACAAGAAAGGAAATGAGCAGTAATTGTTATACTGCGTGTTATCGTCAAAGCAGTTGTTCAGATTACCACACACAAGATGCAAAATCGGTTAAAAATAATAAAAAAAAGCAAAAATTAAGCATTAACTGTTCTTTCAATAAACCAGTGTCCTCTTTGTTTTTATTGATATATTTATGTTTGTGGGACTGAGGATGGAGCCCAGGGCCTGGTACATGCAGCCCTCACTAGGAGGAGGCTGGAGGAGGTGCATTTCATGAGCTGTTCATTTCTGGCACCCCAAGAGCAAAGGACCCAGAGTGAGGACTCGGGGCCACCACTCTGACTCCCCCCAGTTGCTTGCTCCCCTGTGTGTCCCCCTGGGATTTCAGGGTGTGGGGGCGCCCAGGGCTGGCAGCACTGAGCCAGCAGGTGAATTTGTGCCTCGGGCATGTTGTAGCATGCCCCCCCCTCCCCCGCATGCTGAATGTCACCTGCAGGAGCTTCCCAGAGGGTCAGTTCAGCAGGGTTGAGTGATTTCCTCCTGGGACGCAGATTGTCACAGAACTGCAGCAGCTCGTGTCCCGGTCAGAAGGACTTGCCAGTTGGTGACCATAACCACAAAGCCTGAGATTAATCACTATTTATGGGAGGGGCGTGTGAAATTTTTATAATCCAAAAGTAACTCTGATTATAAAGTTCCGCTCCCTCATGTCACAGTGGTGTGGGGACGAAGTCACAGCACTGTCCTTACAGCTGCCCTCCGTGCCTGCAAGTTTTGCATGCAGATCCAGCCATCCAAGGATTGAATACATTCAGGGGAAATAATTGCATCTGAACCTGGGCCCCTTTCTTGTCATCATTTCTTGCATGTGTGCATGGTATTGGGTATTGTAAGTCGTGTGGCCAGGACTTCATGCCCACAGGAGGATGTAGCGGGTGGATGTCGGTGGCACAGTGTGCGCCCAGCTTGCACAGCCCAGCTTGGACTGTCTCTAGTACCACAGATATACACAAGCAGATAAAGAAATGAGTAAGATAAAGTGCATGGGAGGACATGTGTAGGTTCTGTGCAAAGGCTGTAGTGTTTTACTTACAGGGCCATGAGCCCGTTTGCTTTGGTTCCCCTCTGGTTCTGAAGGACAGCTGTAGAGACAAGGGCTAATAAGCCAGTGTGGTGGTGCCTGCCTCTCACCCCAGCACTTGGGAAGGGAAGGCTGAGGAGGATCACGAGTTTGAGCCCACCCCAGACAATTTAATGACTTACAGAGACCTTATCTCAGAACAAAAAAAGGGATGGGGATATGGCTCAGTGAGAAGGCCCTCGGGTTCAGGCTCCAATGCACAAAAGAAAAAAAAGAAAGAAAAAAAAACAGCATCCCCTCCATCCTTTGCCCTATACCTGTTCCCCAAAGACGGTTGGTTTCAGTTGCCTCTTCCCTGACCTTAGGTTAGGTTCTGCTGGGTGGTCCATGTTTCTCAGGTGGAAAGCAGGCTGACAAGGGTGAAGGATTTGTTGTAGGTCAGCATGGGCAGAGCTGGTTAAGATTGTCTTCGATGCCAGCTTTCGTCCCACCCTGTACGCTCTGTGGCCTCGGCAGATTGCTTAACCCATCTGAGACCCAGTTGCCCCAGCTGTACTGTGAGGTTAACATAGAACGTTCTTCTCAGAGAACTTTCTATAGAGTCAAATGAGATGCTACACAGAAAGCGTGAAGTACTGTACACACTGGCCTATCATGGTCGAGGCCCAGGATGCAATTTCTTCTACTGCAAAACAAAACCGGAAGCACTTCGTAGAGTCTGGCAGGTGGGAGGAACTGGCTATTAACTATTACTGTTGTTATCCCCCAATCAGATATCCCAGGCTCAGTTGGACGTGGTTATGCTTCTCTGTAATCCCAGCTATTTGGAAAGCTGAGAAAGGGTCACGAGTTCAAGGCCAACCTGGGCAGCTTAGTGAGCCTGTGTCCCCAAAGGAAACAAAACAAAACACTGGGATCATCGTTCAGGGGGAGAGCATTTGCCTGTCTGCTTAAGGGCCTGGGTCCCATTCTGAATAACACACACACACACAAACACACACACACACACACACACACACCCCTCAAGCTCTTATCCATTCACTTTTTCACTGGCATCAGACATGTAACAGTGAGGAAAAATACATCGTTTCTGACTTCGTGGTCACATAGGAAGAAGAGCTTAGTCAAAATGAGCATCTTGATAAGAAATTCCAGCTGCCTAAGTACTGCAAAGGTGTGTGATTTAAGGATTTGACTTAAATGTGGCCAGAGGTGGCAGCCCACAGAGACAGTGCTCGTGCTGAGGTCGGCAGGACCACAGAGTGCTTTACTAACGTAGGAGGCAGCGTGTGCAAAGCCCATGGTGGACGGCAATGGTGTGCTTAGGGGACTGAAGGCCAGCGCGGCACGTGCTGCCCTGTGCCTTACCTCCCAGCCCTCTGAAGGCTTCCTGTGCCTTCTGCCTGTCTGCTCACTGGTGTGGCCGTGGGCAGAGAGGTGAACAACCTGGGGGGTGGTGTGGCGACAGGATGGTTGAGCAGCTGGGCTGGGACGTCAGCTTTTGGGCTGGGGCTCGGGCTGCAGGAGGCACACGTCCTGAGTGTCTGCAGGTGCTGGGTCAGGGCTGGAGGGGCTGGGCCCAGGGAGGGTTGGCACCAGCCCAGCAACCCCCAGGCTGTGACCTCCTTCCCTCCCTTACCAGGTGAAGAGGATGGGCGAGCTCGGGCTGCTGGCCATGGACGTGCCGGAGGAGCTCAGCGGGGCTGGCCTCGACTACCTGGCCTACTCCATCGCCATAGAGGAGATCAGCCGGGGCTGCGCCTCCACTGGCATCATCATGAGTGTCAACAACGTGAGCTTCCTGGGTCCCCGGGACGTGCCCTGCAGTCTCTGACCTGGGTCCCGTGGGTGGGCCTCTGGAGAGAGCAGGCCTTGAGGTGGCCTCCAACTGCCACCCACTTTCCTCTCAGTCTCTCTACCTGGGCCCCATCCTGAAGTTTGGCTCCCCAGAGCAGAAGCGGCAGTGGATCACCCCTTTCACCAGTGGCGACAAAATTGGCTGCTTTGCCCTCAGTGAACCAGGTACTGTGGCCTTGTGGGAGCTGAGGGGCTGTTGCTAGTCAGAGCAAGAGGAGAGGTTCTGGTATGGACCTCTGGGCCAAACTGCGGCTGCCTGGATCTTCCATGGAGAACATTCTGGCCCTGCCTGGGGTACGGGCAGGCAGGGGTCCTTTTAGCTACTGCACAGGACGCTGTGTCCTCTTGGACCAGTCTGGCAGCTTTGCGACTGCTGCAGCTGCACCCTGGCTTGGGAGCCCAGTTGCAGGGTGGGGCTGGGTCACCAGTGCTGGGTCCTGAGTTTGTGTGTGGGGCAGGGAACGGCAGTGACGCTGGAGCTGCATCCACCGTAGCGCGCGAGGACGGGGACTCGTGGATCCTGAATGGCACCAAGGCCTGGATCACCAATGCCTGGGAGGCCTCGGCCACTGTGGTCTTCGCCAGCACCGACAGATCCCTGAAGAACAAGGTGGGGTAGGGCGACCAGGCGGACCATCTGGTCCTGATGGGAACTGCCCTGCAGCACCCTTCCTGCCCTCCCTCCTGCCCCCCGCTTGCTGCACCATCCCTGAAGCCAGCAGGGGATGGGCCTGGCCTGGCTGAGGGAGCCCAGGGAGGGCCTTGGAGCTCATGTCTGGACTGTTGGAATCAGGGTGGGGCAGCCATCAAGAAAGTCACTTGGCATCCTGTGGCTTTCAGGGCATCAGTGCCTTCCTGGTTCCCATGCCAACACCTGGCCTAACGCTGGGGAAGAAGGAGGATAAGCTAGGCATCCGGGCCTCATCCACAGCCAACCTCATCTTTGAAGACTGTCGCATCCCCAAAGAGAACCTGTTGGGGGAGCCAGGGATGGGCTTCAAGATAGCCATGGTGAGCCCGGCCGGGGGCGGCACCTTGGGGCCAGGCCCTGTACTCCAGCCCATAACCACTGACCGAGTGGTCCCCACAGCAAACCCTGGACATGGGCCGCATCGGTGTCGCCTCCCAGGCCCTGGGCATTGCCCAGGCTGCCCTGGATTGTGCCGTGAACTATGCTGAGAACCGCAAGGCCTTTGGGGCACCCCTCACGAAGCTCCAGAGCATCCAGGTAGCCAGGGACCGATCAGGAACTGGGCCTAGATGCCAGGGAGGGAGGCCCAGCTTTTGCCCTTCTGGCCCCTTTCTTTCTGACCTGCCCTGGGATGGGGCGGGCACCTGCTCACAGTGGGGCTGGGCTGTTGCAGTTCAAGCTGGCCGACATGGCCCTGGCTCTGGAGAGTGCCCGGCTGCTGACCTGGCGTGCTGCCATGCTGAAGGACAATAAGAAACCTTTCACCAAGGTGCCTGGGGCAGGAAGGGACCCTTCGGGGAGGGGTCTGCCTGGGCAGAGGTGGGCTTGTGTGTTCACTTTGCCAGGGCTAAGCCCCCACAGGCCCACCCCTGCTGAGGGGCGGAGCTAGGGCTCCCCAAAGTGAAGTTGCTGACTGCCATCCCTGCTGGTTAGGAGTCGGCCATGGCCAAGCTCGCTGCGTCAGAGGCCGCAACTGCCATCAGCCACCAGGTGAGCATCTGCCCTGCGTGGATGCGGCCCTTGCCCTGGCTGAGCCTTCGTGTGGCTGACTGTGTGCAGTCGTTCCTTGTGTTTGTGGAATCTTGTGCCCCTGAGCCCCTGCTTTCTATTTTAGACGATTCAGATCCTGGGCGGCATGGGTTATGTGGCAGAGATGCCAGCTGAGCGGCACTACCGTGATGCCCGCATCACCGAGATCTACGAGGGCACCAGTGAGATCCAGAGGCTGGTGATCGCCGGGCACGTGCTCCGGAGCTACCGGAGCTGAGCTCCTTGGAGGGCACTGGCGCCCCCTGCCAGCCTTGAACTGTAGAAAAGGGGCCGAACCGTGTGGCCTTAACCCTTGTGTCTGCTAAGTCCTTGGGCACTGACCTGTCCTCTTGGCCCCCTCAGGCTGGGCCCAGCTTGGTGCCTGACCTGCACACTGGCTAGAGGGGCTCTTCTGGTCTCTGGTCACCCAGATGAAGCGGCTGGGGAGAGCGTCTCGGGGAGAGGAGGGTGAGCCCTTTCCACCTGTGGCCGAGGGCCTCATCCATCTTTAGCGTGGATGCCAGGCTCTGCTACCTCCCTGTACCAGCCAGCAGGGCCTCACTCTTCCAGAAGTGGCCTTGGGGAGCAGGAGGGCCTGGCATTTTGGCCAGGTCACAATATAAGAGGGTGAGAAGTTGGGGCTGGGGGTCCTAGTCTCCAGAAGTCGTGTTCCTGGGTTGTGGGGCTGCTCTGCAAAGGGCAGATGGGTGTGGTGTGTGGTCTGAGGTCACTGCGGGGAGCTGACTTGCAATAAAGTGTACCTGTCCTGCCCCAAGCTGGATCTTTCGTCTGCGAGCCCTGCTAGTGCACTGTGTGCAGGTCAGCACCCTGGCCACAAGGCTGGGCCAGGGAGGCAGGGCTGCCCAAGAAGGCAGCTTAGGAGGGTGTGGACCTATGACCTGCTGGCCTTGGTGGCATCTGGATTGTGACCAGAGGCAGATGGGAATGATGGTGCTAGACTGGGCATGGGCAGGAGCCAGACTGTCGAGGGCCATGAGACCTAGGGAGGAAGTGGGGACCTGAAAGGCTTTCACTTTTAACTGCAGGAGGGGCTGAATCCAAGGCCTTCATGCTAAACTGCACAACAGTGTTGGTGAGTCGCTCAGATCAGGCTTCAGCTGTTGATCCTCCTGCTTCAGTCTCCTAGAGTGCTGGGAGGACAGGCATGCAGCAGCACCCCAAGTTTAATGTTCAGTGGTCCAGGGTGCTGGCCCTGAGCCCAGGGGTCTGGCTTTGGGCTGAGGCCACGAGCGAAGAAGCTGGGAGAGAAAACTGCAGCAGAGCTCAGAGGCGGGGAAGCCCCTGGCTAGGCAGGAAGGAAACTGCCGGCATTGACATTGCCGTAGGTCTCTGGAGGAAGAGCTGCCCGTGAGCCTGTGAAGCCAGCATATGGGGACGTGGAGCAACCTGCAACCACTGCGTAGGAGAGCGATGCCAGGTGCCCGCGCCTTGGCCTGCACCTGGGAGCCGGCGTGAGGGTGCCGAGCAGGGCTCCAGTTTAGGCCCTGATTGCTCCCAGCTGCGGGCTCCCTCGGGTGGGGCGTGTTTCCTGGCTAGGGAGGTGCCTGAGGCTCCCGGCAGCTATGCTCCTTGTCCTTGTACCAGGCAGTGGCCTGGCACCTTGCGAAGGTGTCCTGGCTCCAGGGCAGTGTGTGTAGGGCCTTGGTCCTAACTCACCCTCTTGGGGTCTCCTAGACCTGCCCACCCCTGCCCTGGTCCCCACCTAAGTGCCATTGAACGGTAAGGTTGCCTCATCTCACTTGGAGTTACATGGCATTCTGTCGCTGTCTGTGTCCCAGTTCCACACAGGGTTCCTGTGAGCCCAGGAGCTGTGGGGAGACGGTTTTCAGAGGGCTCCACGGCCTCTCCAGCCAGGTGGCCTGGCTCTTGTGGGGTGGGATCCAGATCCCTTAGGGGAGGGTTCGTCTCATTTCTCCTGGTACCAGTGCATGGGGATGGCAAGAGGTTTGGCGCCAGAGAGGAACAGAGGGAGCCCAAGTGGCACCTGTGACCTCAGGACCGAGTGGACCCTGCTCAGGACTCAAGCCCCACCTCGCTTGGTGCTCAGGTGCCCCCCTCAGGGTCCATCCTGTCCTCCGAGAAGCAGAGCCCAGCAGGGAAGGGGCTAGCTGTGGCAGGTCTGCTGTCCCAGGAGCCCAGCTGGGTGTCCCCTCTCAGCCTTGGTAGAAGGCGGGGCCTGGAGGCCACATTGCTGTCCATTTCTCGGTGGGGTAACTGAGGGTCTGGGCCGAGGTCACCTGCTTACTAGGCTTTAGGAGCTGTCCTCAGTTGGAGATCTGCAGCTTATTTTTTGAGACAGGGTGTCACTAGGCAGTTCAGGCTGGGCTTGAGCTCATTTTGTAGCCCAGGCTGGTCTCAAACTCAACAGTCCTCCTGCCTCAGCCTCCCCAGTGCTGGGAGTCCTGTTCAATTTTACTAGACTTTGCCAAACTGCGCTTCTCAGTGACTGGACCACGAGACAGCAGTGTCTCTTGAGTCTGCATTCCCTGCATTCCTTGGTATGTCAGGTTTCACAATTTTTCTCGACTCTTGTTCTCCAGAACGTGCACCTCTTTTCATGCATTTATTGGCCATTCTGCTTTCTGCAGTGATTTGCCATTCATGATCTTTGCCTGCTGCCTCTGTGGGCTGTTTGTCGCTTCCTTACTGACTTGTGTTTGTCCTGTGTGTGTAGCCTGGACGCTAATCAGCTGAATAGTTGCAAAGAAGACCATATAGCGTGTGGCTTTCCTTGTTAGGACCAGTGACATTTTAATGCTCACTCTTTAAACAGTTTCAAAAGTTTTGCGAATACTCTGCAACCACTTCAAATCCACACTCCTGGGTGAAGAGTCACTTGCCTTCCTGGGGGTGGCTCGGGGGTCCCTGTACCTGCAGAAACATCTCATGTGCCTGACGCCCCCTTCCTGCACACTCCCTGATGTGGCTTCCTGTTTCCACTCTGCATCTTCCGCTGGTGCATTCAAAGGACTCAGTCCTCAGCTGGCTCAGACACGCAGCGGGCAGTTAGACCTCCTGTCCTTCCAGGTTGCTCTAAAATCTCCACCCGCCCCAGCTGCTGGGCCCCAGGCTTCACCATAGCAGACGCTAGCAGGTGCTGTGTATTTGGGTCTTGAATTTCTGTGGAGGCCTAGGTGTTAAGGGCTTGGGCCCCTGGGTGGTGCTATTTGAGGTGGTGGAACCTTTTAAGGGATGGGTTGTGACCTCCAAGGGGATTTTTATTTTTTTTGAGACGGGGTCTCCCTATGTAGTTCAGGATGGCTTTGAACTCACTTTGTAGCCCTAGTTGGTCTCAGGCTTGCAGCGATCCTCCTGCTTCATCCTTTGGACTGCTAGGATTACAGGTGTGTACCACCACACCTGACTCAAAGGGAATTTTGGTTCTCCTGCCTCAGCGTCCCAAGTAGCTGGTAATATACATATGTTCCGGTATGCTGGCTACAGTGACAGCTATTCCTATTTTCTTTGTCACAGGGATGTTCCTGGCAGCATTCCTTTACCCCTGGCTGGGCTTGTTAGTGCTGAGGATTACAGGACTGTGCCACCACACCTTATCACCTACAGCGGTGTCCTGTAGCAGAGACAGGAGGACTGTTTGCCTTTTCTAGGCTATTCAGAGTAGGTGATCTAGTGAAAGCTCTTCGACCTAACAGAAAAACATAGAAATGGACCTACAAAATATATCAGCCTTAATCTATTTTTTAAAAAATTTGTCAACTGCCGTTTTCCCCCAGATGTTGCAGTAGCGGGGTCCTTCAGCCCCCTGCTCCTTCCTTCAGCCCCCTGCTGTTGAGGCAAAGGAAAGCAGAGTGAGGGAAAGAACCCAGGTGAGGCCCCTAAGATCTGTGGAAGGCAGCTGGGGACAAACTTGAGTCCTGCAGCCCCAAGCCGGGCGTGCCTTTTGCCTTTGCATTGGCCGGAAGGGCCTTTGAGCTCAGTGACAGCACAGCCAGGTTCATCGCCCGAGAGGAGGCCACAGGGCCAGCAAGGAAAGCCAGGTGAGTTGGGACCTGCTGCTGCAAGAGTGGCGTGTCGCCTTTTCTCCCGGGCCACTCCCCGCTGGTGTGTGAGCTGAGCAGTCCCAGAGCAGCGTTCTTACAATGTGGTCACCTGTTGCCTTCCTGCTGTGGCCAGGGTCTCCAGGCCATCAGACTCCAGAGCAGGTCGCAGGTCATACCGCGTCTTCACGTTTCCATCCGCGCGTGCCTGGCAAACTGTCGCCCGCGGCCCCCGGCCCGTGTCACCGTGAGCAACTGTGGGAACCTGCGCAGAGCGCCTGGAGTCAGCCGGGCCCAGGCCTGCTTGCAAGAGACAGGCGGCAGGAGCCTGGGCTCTGACCGTGGTTCGTTCTTAGAGCTCTCAAATGTTCAGGGCCTGCTAATTTTTTTTCCCCATAGAAATTGAATTATAACCATTAAAGTCCCCACATTCTAAATACATGGCTTTTGGGAATGTCCCCACGCTGCTGGGCTTGAGCAAGAGAGTGGCAAGCAGCGCGCGCGGATCAGAGGAGGGAAAGTCCCGACTCCTGCGGCCCGGACTTTCCTAGGGCCCGAGGGACTCTCCCTGACCTGCCTCGGGAGGTGGGGTCTTGCTGCACAAAAGTGTGCACTGGCCCCAGGCTCCTCCGGCCTCTTTTTCAACCAGCACCCCAACGGTATCCACGATCTGATGCTGTGAACTCTTTAGAGTGACCTTTTTTTTTTTTTCACCCAGCATTTTGTTTGTGAGATGTGCCCCTGTTATCAACTATGGTCACTGGTTCATTCTTTTTCTTACATAGCTCTGTATTCATTATATGAATACTGTATTCCAGTTTGCCTGTTCTATTGTTGATGGATTCTCAGCCTGTTGTTTGCAGGTTTTTGCCTACAAATAAAGCTGACAGGAATTTTCTTTCTCCTTCTCCTTCTCCTTCTCCTTCTCCTTCTCCTTCTCCTTCTCCTTCTCCTTCTGCTCCTGCTTCTGCTCCTCCTCCTCCTCCTCCTCCTCCTCCTTTCTTCCTTCTTCCTTCCTCTCCTCCTCCTCTTCCTTCGTCTCTTTTGAGACAGGGTCTTGCTACACAGTTCAGGCTGGCCTTGAGCTCACTTTGTACCCTAGGCTGATCTCGAACTCGCAACAATCCTCCTGTGTCAGCCTCCCAAGTGCTGGGATTACAAGCTGCCAGTCATGGGGTACACACAGGTGTAGCAGGGATGGCCTTCGCTTTTCCACAGTGATTGTACCAATCAGTTTTTCCTGTGACCCACGGTGCAGACACTTGAAACTCTGTTCTTTGAGGGCAGAAATAATTGCTTTCTGAACTTGTTCTAACTTAATGGTTTATTCTGGTTGCTTGTTTTGTTTTACCATTTGTAGGATCAATCTTGTTCTTTTTCTAGAAAACAAACCATTTATGTGGACTTACCTAGTTTATCAGTTTAATTCGTAGAGGTGTTGATATGTAATATTTTAAAAATATTTTCATTTTGCATTTTTTCTAAAAGTAAAATGCACAAAGATTAAATAACTCTGGGTATGTAGTGCAGTGTTAAGAGTACTTGCCTAGGGGCTGGGGAGATGGCTCAGTGGTCTAAGGCACCTACTTGGAGCAAGCTTCACAAAGCACAGGGACCGCGGTTCGATACCCCAGCACCACATGCTAGCCAGCCCCGCCCCCTGGTGGGCTGAGCTGGCCACACACACACACACACACACACACACACATAAATAAATAAATAAATAAAATTTTAAAAAAAAAAAAAAAGA